CTTGCTGTTAGGAGCTGGGGTCCCATTGGAAGAGGCAGGTCCCTGGGGGCATGGTCTGGAAGGGTTTGTCTACCTCTTGATTCCTCCAATGACTGCCTCCTGGACGCCATGAGGTGAGCCGCTCTCCTCTGCTGAGGCCCTCCCACCATGCTGTTCTGCCTTGGAGTAAGTCAGATATGGACTGAAACCTCTACAAACTGTGAGCCAAAATAAACTTCTTCTTTAAGTTTTGGATGTTGGGTATTTTGTTCCAGTGACAAAGAAAGTGACTAAGACAGTTATCTAATTAGAGCCCTTGATTCATAGTTATTTACTGCCTTTTGTATGCTAGCAGCTAGACAATGACAATGCTCTTTTTTTTTTTTTCCTTGGTACTGGGAATTGAACTCAGAACCTTGCTCTTGCCAGACAGATAACTGTGCCACTGAGGTATATCCCCAGGCCTAGACAATGTTCTAGAAGCCGACAATGTAACAGTAAGGGACAACTAAGTCCCTGTTCTCATTGAACTTACAGCCAAATAAGCATGGAAGAAGCAAAATTCCTGACAAGGGAAAGATTGTCTGGTGCCAAGTGTAAGGAAGAAAAGGTGGATGAAGGTGCAGTTGGGGGACGCTACTGTGGACACATTGGACAGGGACTGTGTCTCTCCTAGGTGCATTTGAGGAGGGACCTGCAGCGAGTGATGCAGTGAGTGCGGGCAGGTCTTGTGGCCCAAAGCAGTGGTCTTGGAAGACAGAGTTGGGAGTGGGTCTGTGGGCCAGGCAGGGGCCCATCAGCCTGGAGCAGCAGGCTCCAGGGAGGAGTGGCAGGTGGGGGAACCCGAGAGTTGTTTAAGCCAAGATCAAGTAGAGGGGAAGCTGCTGGAATTTTTGAGCAGACGAGTGTGTGGTGTGATGCAGGTTTTAAAATAATTGCTCTGGCTGCTGAGGGTTGAACAGTTTATAGCTGGGTGCCAGCAACAGCAGGAAACATGAGCCTGCTGCAGGAGGCCGGGTAGGCGAGACGGTGGCTGAATTAGGCAATGGTGGGGCATTACTCAGGTAGCGCATAGGTGAGCCAACAGAGTTTCTTGATGGTTTGTGGTGTGTAAGAAAGAAAAACGAACCAGAGATGATTTCAACCTCTTTTCTGAGCAAGTAGGAGAATAGGACTCTTATTTACTTAATGAAAGGGAGCAGATTTTGGAGGGGCAAGAGAAATGGATTTGGAGATGGTAGTTTTTGATTTGTTTTGTTTTGTTTGAGTTAGAATTTCACTATGGAGCCCATGTTGGCCCGAAACAGGTGAGCCTCCTGCCTCAGCTTGTCAAGTGCTGAGATTAAAGGCATGTGCTACCACGTCTGGCTCACGACTCACTTGAGATCTGATTAGACATCCAAGTGGAGGTGCCAAAGTGGTAACTGGTTATAAGAACCTGCAGTTCAGGAAAACAGGAGACGTTTATAAGTGGGGGCTCGGGTGGAACCCAAAGACTCCACTCATTTTTAAGTTTCATCTTGCTCTCCAGAGATGGTCTTCAGGAGCTGTGGGAGCTGTGGAACATTAGGACATGCTCTGAGTCAGGGATCACCAGAACTATGGAATATCTCTACTCTGTCCCTAGGTCCAGTCAGAGACTCATCCTTAAGAAACCCTTGTGAAGGGCCTCCTGCAAGCCCTGCCAGACGGCAAGCGTTGGATACACATACAGTGAAGAACAGGCCACAGTGGCTGTCTTCACAAAATGTTTCCTAGGGGATAAGGCCAAGAGAATGGAGATGTTAGTACAACGATTCAGGGGTAAGATGTGGATGCTGTTGGACACAAAGGAGGGGCATGGCTACCTTTTGTGGGGCCAGAAAGAGCTTCCTTGAGAACATGCTACGGGTGAGTAAGGGGAGCTGGGTAAAGGGGTGAAAGGGGGCATGGGGCGTGTTCTAGGAGAGGCAGCAGCACGGGAGCGCAGGGAGTCTGCACCGGTGAAGGACAGAGGGAGGGGCAGTCTCAGACTCAGCACCCTACTAGTGAGCTAGGGATGTGTCCACATAATATGAGGCAGGGCCCTGGTCTGTTTTGCTTAACCTCCACTAGTGGCAGATACTCCCCAGAGGGCCAGTTCCCTTGATGGAGATGAGGGAAAAGACGCCAAGACCTTAACGTGTGTGTCTGTGTGTGTGTGTGGGGGGTAGGATGTGGGAAAAAGCAGGGTGGGGGGTGTTTCTGAATGGGATGCACCCCGGGGTACAGCAAATGGTAGTTGTGGGGGAGGGATGTATCAGGCACAGGAGTGGAAGCCAGCAGTGAGGCTCTGAAGGGTGTAAGGCGTGTGCTGAGCAGTGTGAGTTCAGGAAGGGCTCGGATTCCACGTCACGGAGCTGATTGCTGGCCGCGTGTGCTTGTGGGACTGGATGTGTGTGATGCGATGTTCTCCCCGACTCAGTGTGGAGGTGCAGAGCTCTGGAATGCATGCCATGCAAGTACCTACCTGCGGGAAAGGGATTTGCATCCAGCCTATGCTGTGAGCGTATGCCTTGCGTGGCTGGGGTTGCCCAGACTGCATCTCAGAGTGAACAAGCTACTGGGGCTGCTGGGGACGGGAGAGGCTCTGGGCTCATTCAGCACAGGGCAGGCACGCATGTAAACATTTTGGTTTTATTAGTCATTTTAGGAAACGTATAGCTTTGGTTAAAAGTTTGCACTAGATATTTTAAGAAAAATAAATTCACAGCCAGACACCAATATCTGTTTAGAAAATCAAGGGGTTTATATCCTGTGATGGAGCTGAGCCGGAGCCCTACTTCAAAGTCTAAAACTTTCTCCATTCTGTTTCATTCAACAAACATTTCCTGAACATCTCAGCCCACAGGCAAGACCTGGGCTTTGCTGTAGGGACTCGGTTCCCTTCCCTCTGAGCCACCTTAACCTGGGTGCTGCAGTTAAAGCTTAGTTCTGTGTTATTTGTATTGTTCCTTAATTGTTGCAAAGACAGTAATTCCCCTCCTGGGTGGGTGTGTGACCCTCAGGACAGGGCCTATGCAGCAGAGTTTGAGAACAAATGGAAACATGGACATGAAACTGAATGGATTAGATTTATTCCTTTCATAATAAAATCTAGAATCCTAACTTGCCATTTCTGGGAAGGAGGAGCTTTGCGTATTAATGGAATTGGTACGGTCCCACACCTTGTTCCTCTTAATGAAAAACAGAGCTCTTTCCTTTAGGATGACAGTTGAAAGGTAGCAGGAGGTTTTGACGAATTACTCCAGAGCAGAGTCTTCCTTGGGCAGGACAAGTCAGAGAGTGGCCCTACTGACCTTTTAGACCAGGCCACTCTTTGCCCTTGGGGCTGCCTTGTTCCCTAAGGAAGTTTAGTAGCATCCTAGGCTCTGTCAGCCTAAATCCAGTAGGCGGCATTTCCTAGCAGTTGTGACAATCAAAAATGTCCCCAAACATTGCTAAGTGTGCCCTGAGAGCAAAATCAGCCCCAGTTGAAAACCCGCATCCTCTAGGAATTTTGGTTCGGGTAATTTTCTTATTTGGCACATTGTGGGAAACAGGGGAAGTACTGTTGGTGCTGATTTGCGAGGCACCATCTCTGCACGATTTTATTTCATCTTCCAGATAAAGAGGCTGATGTCCCAACTTGAAGGCCCTGCTGAAGGTCACGCAGCCAGGTTAGCGGTTCAAGCGGGTTTGCCTTTGCTGAAGAAGCAGCAGGCCTGAAATTGTCCTGCGGTTTCAAAAATCAGGTCGGAAAATATTTTTAAACATTTTTTGGGTGGGGAGGTATGATTCCTCTTGTATTCATTAAATTCACAATATAAATATATAGTGTGCCCTCAAAATAGACACCCTGGTCCCTGTACTACAGTTGAGGCTCTTGTCTTACCTAGAAAAGACATCTGAGCAACACAATGGAAGGGCTTCAATTCTGCTTGTTACCAATTATCCAAAAGCCAGGGCCTGATGGTGCCAAAAGCAACCAGTATTGTTTACATAAAGGTTGAAGGCTAATAGTTAACTTTTCCAGAATCGGTAAATAACGCCTTGCCTTATAACTACAAACCAGGGAGATGTCATAAAGTGGGGAAGAGAACACTCAGAAGCAAATGGAAAGGTTGGTTTTCCTCCCTCCCGCTGCGCTGTCCCGCGCTGCTACCGCGGCCTCAGGCCCCCATTGCCTGCTCCAAGCTCTGGTCCCCCAAGCCAGCCAGCCCGCAGTTTTCTGGCTTCCTTTCCCGCCCTGGGGCAAGCTCGGACTCTTGGAGAAGCCTGTCCCGGAGCCAGGCCTGGAAAGACAACAGCGAGAAACTTTAGCACGGTTTGCAGCAGCTCAGTGGAAAAAAAAAGAAAAAGAAAAAAAAGAAATGCACACCCTCAAGTTTGGTTCGGGGCTGCACCTGCGGATTCCGATTTGGGGGCGGAGGCGGGGGCGGGGGGTGGGAGATCGCCACTCGGTCAGGTTCAAGTGCGCATGTGCCCGGAGGGGCCTGGGCACTTATTGAGCGCCGACTGTCTACCCCGGAGGGTGCCTCTCCGGCGCGCGGAGGTGGGGTTCGGGGTCAGGGTGGGCGCGCGCCTGGGGCGGTGGAGGGAGGGCAGAGGTGGGGGAAAGGGACGGAGGAGGAGGGAGTAGGAGGAAGGGAGGCAGGGGCGTGCCCCCGATCCGGGCTGGCGGGCAAGCCGCTCCCTTCCCGGGCCCGCGATCCGGGCCGGGTTGTGGCCGCGGCCGCGTACGTGAGCGCTGTGTCCCGGGTAGGGAGGGAGGGAGGCCGGCCAGGTGGGCGCGAACGGAGCCGGCGGAGGGCGGGCGGCCGGAGAGAGCGAGCGGGCCGCGCCGGGGGGCGGAGGGCGCGGGGCGGGGCGGGAGGGGCGGCGCCAGCTGCAGCCGGAGCGGAGCGCGGGGAGGTGAGCTGCGCGGGCCGCGGCGCTGCAGCCGGGCTTGGGGGTGCCGAGCGCTTCCCGAGCTTGTGCGCCCGGGGGGGGGGGCGGGGGCCCTGGGGGGCCAGGGGCGGGGCGCGGGGGGCTCTGTGGCAGTGGCCGCGCCGGCCGGGTGGCCGATGGGTGGGGGCCGTGGGGGCCGCCTGTCCTCTCCCGCGCCGCCTTGTTTATCTCGCGGGCGCCTGCGCTCCCGACCGAGGACCCTCCCAACTTTGAGCGGGGGTTGGCAGTCGCCTCTCCAAAGGACCCTGCACGGGGAGCCCAGCCCTTCCATGCCCCTCCCCCGACCCTTTCCGGCCGGGCGCCCCGCTCGCACCTGTCCACTCTGCGACACACCCTCCTCCTGGCGGGTCGCCCCGCACTCTCTCTCAAGCCCGCTTTGGCCACTACTCTCTCTGGCCGTGTGCCTTCAGCCTGGCTCCCCTCACCCCATGTGCTAGGCCAGGCGGCCTTGCCAGGCGGTGGCACTTTGGGCATCGGGGGTTCCCGGGTGGGGGCCTGGACGGGAAGTTTGGCATGTGCAAACAATTTCAGAGGCAGCGTTTCCTTCACTGCCTCGGAGTTTAGATCTGTGCCTTCCATTGCGGCTGGTGGAGAGATCTAAAGGAGCCCACCTGCCAGGTGGTGGGCACTGCCACGCCTTCTGTTTGTCGGCAGCCCGGCCAACTGGTTCTGGGGCTCTGGAGATTCCCCAGGCTCTAGCACTCCTGCAGTGCAGCTGGGCAGGCGCTGGGTATCTGCAGGCCCTCACTGCTTTCTTCACACCCGCTGTGCAGGAAGATGTGACTGGGACAGTTTGCTTCAACAGGTATTGGAGGTCTTGGGACACTTTACCAGGTGTTGTGTAAACAGAGCCTGAGGAGCCTTGAGACAGAGCGGTTATGTTGGACTCCACCGGTCCTTCTGGGAGCTGCTGTGTTCTCAGCAGGACCCCCGGCTTCCTGGGAGATGTCAAGAGGTACCCAAGAAATCTAATGCCCCAGGAAGCCTATTCTGCTAGGTAGAAATGCCTTTAAGAGCTCAACTTCAGATGCATGAGCCATGGCTTCCCGAGTTGGTGAAGGCCAGGAGCCACAGCAGAGAGAGGAAAAGTCCGAGTTGGGGCAGGCGGTCTAGTTTTGGAGGAAGGTGTGCCTGTGGAGGATGACTCCGTGGCAAGACCCAGAGTCCACAGGAGTAGTAGGTAGAAAGGGCCAAGAAAGGAGGATCAGAGGAGCAGTTATGGAGGAGGGAGGATACAGAAGATAAATGAAGCTGGCATGAAGCACAGCAGTGATGCCATACTTGCCTGGCATGTGCAAAGCCTGGGTTTGATCCTTGGCCTTGGGACTTGTCATCTTGTGCAAAGCACGGGAAGATGGGCAGATGGGAAGACCTCCAGATAGGACACATGAACTGTGTGGTGGGCAGGTGCAGACAAAGGTGCTGTTGCAGGTCAGAGGAGGGCGTTCTCGGAGACCCTCGAGAAGGCGACAGAGTGACCATGAGCATGGCCTTGGCATCTTGCGTGTTTCCTGAAGATGGAGAGAACAGTGGTTGAGATTGTGCAAGTCCTAGAAAATCAGACTGGGGAATTGCTGTTCTGTCTGTGTGTCCTGGCAGACATTAAAAGTTTTAGGGTCAGGGAGGACTGCAAGGAAGGGGTGTTTGGAAAGGATTTTGAAAGTAATGTTAGGAGACAGGTCAGCTAGTAAGCTGCTGCATTCCAGGAGTGCCCAGGGTTTGCATTGGATTTAACTGGAAATGAAAAAAGGGTGAGTGTTAGAGATATTACCGTTGACATACTCTGTTGACAGGGCCAGGGTGAAGGGAAAAGATGAATGGAAATTAATTCTTTGTGGAAATGGATTATATGCCAGGGTCTTAGAGCCACTGTAGCTGGCAACTCGAGAAATCGGAAATGTGTGTTTTGCAGAGAAGTAATTGATACTCAGGCTGTGTGGAAGTTTCTGTGTTTGCCAGAATATCCAATTGTAAGTGCGCTGCCAGCAACTGCTGCACCGGGCTTCTTGGGAACCCCAGGGATAGAGTGTTAGAGAGAGCAGGCCTTCAGTGGTCAGAGAGGTAGCTGAGGATGTCCGGCCTGGGAGGTCTGTTTGTTGGGGTTGGGATCCTGCAGTTCAGGCTGGCCTGGAACTCACTGTGTAGCCCAGGCTGGCCTTGAACTCATGGCAATCCTCCTGCCTCTGCCTTCCAAGTGCTGGGATTACAGGCATGTACCACCTGTCATTTTCACCTCTTTGTGTTGCTGCCATTTACATGACACTGCCTGGTCTTGACCTTGAAGTTGGAGAAACAAGTCTGAAGATTCGGGGCTTCTGGGAAACTGGGGCCATTTATTCTTCTAGGCATGAGGGTGCATGCAGTTGGAGGTTGGAGAGAAGCAGCATAGGATTTGCTAAAGGTGTATAATGTTGGACTTGGAAGTGTGTTGAACTTTAGACTCCACCAGGATCTTCAGGCTGGTCCCATGTTTCATTCCTGCAGGGGAGAGGGGGTGGGTGGAGATTTGTCAGTGGAGGTATTGACTTCTCTAGGGCTTGGCTCTTCCTAGCCCATGCCATTGCCCATTCCCAGGAGTCTGAGGACCTGCACACAGAAGGGATCGGGTGCTTTTTTTGCTGAGTACTGAATTGTGCTTTCTTGTTGCACGGCTGACTTAGGGTGATTTGCTGAACAAATTCCCCAAGCCTCAACTTGCAACATCTGAATTTGGAGGATGATTGCAGAAGGCTGCAGAATGAGCCGAGAATGTAATTAGTGACTTAGCCTCCTTGTTTCTCTGAGCTGCAGGGTCGGTGCACTGGTAGGGGAACAGGACTTAGGGGAGGAGACCTGCAGGGGTGTGGATCAGATTTTTTTTTTTCTTTATGGCAAATATCTGACTGTGTGAAAAATAATTGCATGTGAGTGAGCAGTGGTTGAGCTCACTCATTCTAGAGCAATGTTTTCTGTACCATTCTGGCTCTGACCTACATTAAGAAACAAAATTTACATTATGACCCTGTACATACAGCATGTATGTTACAATCTAATTTCAGTTCATGTAGGACTACCTCCCTTTGGGTGGTCCCATCTCCTTGAACATTTTTTGGGGGCGTCTGTTTTATTGTTTTTCATTAGAAGAGCAATTGTTAGCTGGGCATGGTAATACAGGCTTGGGAGGGAGGTTGAGACAGGAGGATTGAAAGTTCAAGGCCATCCTGAGCAACTTAGGGAGACCCTGTCCAAAAATCAAAACAGCTGTTGTTCCTAAGTTCATGGAGTTATTCTCTCATGAAGTAGTGGGTCACAATGCATGAACAGTTTGAAAAGCGCAGAGAGAGTTTTCACATTCAGTAAACATTTATTAAGTCATGTATGTGCGAACATACCCTTCCCAGTACTGAAGGTAGAAAGGTACAAATGAGAGATAGAAACTGTTCAATCTTTTTGGAGGTTTAAGGCGCGGCTTGGATTAAGGAGCAGGGCGAGATGATTAAATGCCAAAAATGAAAAACAAATGCCTGCAGTGTATGAAAACGGGGTGGTAGCCAGGGATTTAGTTCAGTAGCATAAGTGCCTGCCTGGCAAGTGCAAGGTTGTGAGTTCAATCCATGGTACCAAAAAAAAAAAAAAAAAGGAAAAAGAGATCATGATATGTGCAGTGTAGATAGAAAAAACTCTTGGGATGAAGGAAGTCTGGGGTGAACAGTTTGGGTGTCTCAGATGTCTCATAGGAGAAACTCATGTGTGCAAGTTAGGAGTTAGGAGCGAACATAGCATGTGTGTGTGGGTGTGAAGAACATGGGACTCTTGTGATAGCAGGGGGAAATTAGATTGGAGAGGTAGGAAGTATAGGTCTTTATTAAGGAGGGATTTGTAGAAATTTCCAGGCCTTTATGCTGTTACAGTTTGGATAGCATAGAGGTTTTTAAAAATTAGGAATAATCCAGAAACTTGTGGGCTTTTTAAAAAGACTCAGATCTGACCGTTATTTCCAGCAGAGAGGTGGTCATTGCCTATGGAAAGGGTCAGGCCTGCTGCTCCCAAGCATGATTCCAGCGTCCTCTCTTGCCTGCCTGGGTCCAGTTGCTTGGCATTCCTCGCTGTGTCCCATCGGCATTTGGCTTTGTGACCTCAGTTTTCAAGTCTTGGATGCCATGCTGGAGAATGTGTGCTGCTGTCGCAGGCCATGGGTGCCCCCCTCCCCACCCCAAGGATTCTGGCAGGAGCCAGAGACTGTGGAATCCGAGGATTCCAGCGCCATGCTTTGCTTTAGGCCAGTGAGCAGCTCTTGCTGGGGAGCTGCTGGCTGGGCCTTGGAAATATTTTCATGATGAACAGCATGGTATTTACTAGAGAGGGCTTTGCCTTGTCATCTAGAAAGCGATGCAGACTTCTAGTGATCTGAAGTTCTCTCCTGCCTCTACTTCTGGCTGGTGTGATTAGATCTTGGCTCCTGGCATGTCACTCTGAAAGGGATGTTGGGGTTATGAGTTGGTGAGTTGTGAGTCACAGCTGTCAGTTGCCTTGCGACATTAGATTCTTTGGTTCTGTGGGCCCATAAAAGAAGACCAAGGAGAAGGGGGAGCCCCAGCGGGGAAGGGTGCATAGTCTGGAGAGGTTCATAGTGGCTGCAGAGTAGCTGGCTCAAGCCCAGATATTAATGCATATGGCTACAGAAGAGTAGGTGTGTTTGGGGCAGCTGGTGTGGGAAGTCTTTATGGCTGAGGACACTCTGGCTTTTCCTGGAGTCCTAACTACCCACCATTCAGAGCTTCTCCCAGGTGAGCTGCAGGTGACAGGGGCTGACCAATCATTTCCCTGCTTTTTACAGGTAGGACAAAATTTACCTAAAAGTATTGTTGTTGTTTTTTTTTTTAATAACACACAGATACAAGTTAGGAATTTTCTTAAAAGCATATGGCCATAGGATGCAAGGGTACCTAGAAGTCAGCTGAATTATATCAACTTGAATCTATTTCCTGTTTTATGTGATGTTTTGCTTACTAAACCAGAAGGGAATGATGCAGCAGCTCTGGTATGTTTAGTTTTAGTAAAGTAGTTCACAGTTTCTTAAGATACACTTGTCCGTATTAAATCATAAGTAGTAAACTAGGGGCTGGGTGGTGGCCTTGGTTTAATTTAGGGATCCTATGCAAGCACTGTTAGTTACTGGCGCAGAGTCAGCCTGGGAGCAGGTCAGAAAGTGAGCACCACAGGGCTCTGATTTTGGCTTGGGTTGGGTTGAGTATAAGGAAGATGTGTTTGTCTGATTTGGAGGCACAGAGCAGGGAAGGACTGCTTAGTTAGATAAATCAGATTCATCTAGAATGAGGACCTCAAATTAAAAAGAAAAAGAGCTGGGTGTGGCGGTGCATGTCTGTAATTCCAGCTAATTGGGAGACTGAGGCAGGAGGATTGCAAGTTCTGGCCCTGCTTGGGTAACTGTGAGCATCTTTCTCTATAAATAAACAAATGGGGCTAACTAGGGTTGTAGCTCACAGCCCCTTCCCTCATTTCTGTAAAGAATAAATATAAAGCGTGGTTTAGTTTTACAGATTTGAGACGATATCTCAAGATGGCCAAATAGTGTAAGTAGATAATTATTCTTCTAGGGATGTAGCTGAAACAAAACATGAAATATAGATGATATTTTTATGCACCCATCATTCAGATTTTTTAAAAACTCTAGTAAAAAATTGGTAGCAACCTATATTTCCACTGGTGTGGGCTGGAGACAGTGGATAGGTGAATTCCAGTGGATGTATCTTTAAAATGGAGGTTTATGAAGTTATGCAAAATAATATTTAGGAGCAATTTAAAAGATAACCAGGGAGGATGTTTCTGGTAAAAGTTACAGTGTGCCTACTATCTAATTCCAAAGGTTTAAAACACATGCCTAGAAAATAACTGGAAAGAAGTGTCCTAATAATACCAAACCTCCGATGTTTCTAGATGGGTTGAGCTAAGTGACTTTCTGTTTTTCATGCTTTTAAATTTATTATTTGCCAGTGGGGGAAAATACACTACTTTAAACACATCTTATTGTTTGAGGACAGGATGGGAGTAGTTGATTCATGTGGAGATTATTGTTGAGTACCTACCTGCCCCGTGTCAAGTGCTGGCATAGATACCATGCTCACAAAATAACACCCAGCACCTGACTCTGGCACAGGCCACTGTGGAACGCCAGGCTGTCTGGTGGAAAGTCTTGTGTTTTTTTCCCCTGTCATTTATGAGTTCAGCGTGGAGTCCTCAGTGGGCTGAGCCTTTCCAAATATCAAAGCCAGTGGAGAATCCCAGAATCCAGTCTTAATGACCTTGGTCATATGACCTTTGGACTCCTGGGGTGATTTCAAAGACACCTGAGCATCAGGACTTGATCCACAAAGGGAGAATAGGGTGATGGAGACTCAGGAGTGACCGGTGTGGGCTTGTGGAGGGGGTCTGCAGTAGTGCCTATAAAAGGCTTTCATGGTTGTCAGGTGTGGGAAGGACCACATGTGTTCATTTTTTTGTTTTTGGTACCAGGAATTGAACTCATGACCTTGTACTTGCCAGGCAAGTGCTTGCACCGCTGAGCCAAATCTCTGGTCCTAGGTTTGGTGCCATAGGTAAGTTCCCAGGGGCGGGGAAGATGATGTCACGGTAAATTTCTAGAGGTGAGGGAAATAGGAGCTTCCTGGTTCTGGTTGAGGCTTTTCTGGCTACAGAGTCCTGTCTGGGCCACAACCCTTTCAATTTAATTTGACATAATCTCTTTAAATGGTTGGCAGCGGTCATTCCATACAGTGAGGCACCTTGGGAGAGCGCCCCACCCCATCTCTCTCCAGGGATGTTCAGGGCTCTGCCAGCCACCTCAGCACGCTTTTGTGCAGTTAGGAGCCATGCAGCCGTGTTCCCGTGGCACAGCTACTTACACATCTTTTCTGAGCCTCACTAGCTTATTCTCCGTGTGTTTTGTTTCTGTAGGCAGGGGCTGAACAAGCGTTGTTTCTTTTCACTTCAATTAGATTTTATTGGTACATTTGGGACATACCCAATGATCATCTTAGAGGATTTGTACCTATACATGGTACTGTTTTCTTTCCCATTCCCCTACCCTCCCTTCAATGTTCCTCCCCTTATCCATTTACAAAATTTCCTTTCCACGTTTTCTTTGTTTTGTGTTAAGTAATCAGATTTACAGTCTTTTCCCCTTTTGCTTCTTGATTTTTGAGACATAATCAGGAAAGACCTGTTGAGTACATAGAAAAAAAATCACCCAACGCTTTTTTAATATAATCGTTTGTTTCTGCCATCAGTTGCTGATCCTTTTAATCCACACTGTGAATAACGAGGGGAGGCTCCGTCACCTACAATGCCAGCCACCTGCCACCGCGGCCCTGGCTCTGAGGTGACCCGCCGCACCCTGAACTTCGACACGTGGCCCTGCCCCACCCGGGCGAAGGGGCCAGCCAGGCCAGCAGCCACGTAGCGGCGTGCCAAGCCTGGTGCCCAGGTCCAGCGGTGAAGGCGCCTGAGCTTGGTGCCCTAGCACGGCTACTCGCTAGCCTTGCTCTGCGGCCGCGGGGCCCCGCCCCTGGCCGCGTTCATTGGGCGCTCCACCCGCCGGCCACGTTCATTGGAGGCTCCCGCCCCGCCCCCGCGCTGTGCCCAGCTTTCGCCCCGCCCCCTCTGTGAAGGCTGCGGCTTTGTGGTTGTCCTGGAGACCCTCTGTTACCTATGTTTATGGTTCATAGCGCAGCACGAAGCGGAAGGTGTAGCTGTGCGGTCCTGCCCTCTGCTGCTACTGGGAAAGACTTTTTGCCATTGCCGGGTCCGGCCCGGTCCGGCTGGGTCCGCAGGGAGCGGTCCTTCACGATGGACACAGTATCAGCCACTGTGGCCGTGGTCTTCGTGTCCCCGGGCAACCCCGAGCTGCTGAAGCCCCTGTCGAAGCTGTATGTGGCCCTCGTATCCCTGCTACTGGAGGTGAGGCGGGGGAACCAGGGTCGGGCAAGGGGTGCCGGTCGCCCGACAGTGGGCCAGTGGGGAGGTCCCTTCGGAAGAGCCGTACCTGACGGGCAAGAACGTGGTGTGTACTGCAGAGGGCTGGGCTGTCCTGAGGGAGCGGCATGGGGCGAAGCCAACCATCGCCTTAGGAGCCACGTTCACGCCCTACCTGTTTTATCGCACAGATGGTTTCGTGAGGGTGCAGCGAATTGAGACGCAGCATCCTAGAGGAGTGATGCCTGATTTGTGGCCATCATTGTCATAGTGCTTTTGTTTGCAGATGCACAAACCGATGGCTTCTATCATGTATTTACAATGTGGGGTGTGTGTGTGAGAGTGTGTGTGCATGCGCGCATGTGCAGTAATAGAAAACAGCTCACCTAAGCATGATCTGGGCCATGTGTGAGACACCGCAATGAAGAAGGGCCTGTTGGCCAAGTGGGAAATAGGCTCAACTCACTCCCTAAGTTTAGAGACTCCACATACAGTACAAGAACGCGAGCCTGCCTGTATCCCCTTTCTGGAAGTTTCTTCAGGGCACCTGAAAGTTGGTTTAGACTATTGAGAGTAGATTGAGAGTATCTGCGATGATCCTTTGTGATTGCTCCCCCAGTTCTGTTAACATTTCCGTTATTTGTGCCCTTCCTTTTCAGCTGGTTGCAGTGTTACCTGAGGATCTCCAGCCCGGGCCTGACTTTTATGGGCTCCCCTGGGAGCCTGTGTTGCTCACTACCTGTGCTGGAATCCTTACGCTTGCGATTTTCTTGTGGAGGTGTGTTCTTCCAGTGAGTGAATTAACTTGTTCTTTGACTTCTGAATATATTGAGGATTCTATATATCATTGGCCCTTTCAGTTATTAACATAAACAAATCAGTGGTTATAATTCAAGTTAGTTTTCTGAAATGTAGGGAGCCGAGTGACAGGCATTGCTGCCTCGATGTCTCTCTCTCTCTCTCTCTCCTATGGGCACTGCGTCTGCCTACATTAACCATAATCCTCTTCTGCTTACGTCACGTATCCGGATGTGATGGTAACCCTGTTGTATTCTTCTGTTTAACCTCTTCCTGTCCCAGCTCCCGCCCTTAGCCTATAAAAGGTGTGATTATTTTCTGAATAAACTGGAAGCTTGATCGGATTATTTTGTCTTGCTTTCGTCTCTCTTTTGTCTCCCCTATGTCTTTTATTTAATCCCCGTTTCCCCTCCAGGAGTTCTGAACTTGTTGATCTGCAGGCCGGATCAAGTGGCGCTCAGCGTGGGAGCTCCTGGCATGGAGAAGTTAACGAGGGAGCCGTTCGAGAGACAGCCGGCTTAAACTGAAAGTAAAAGCGAATTGAACCAGAGACCTCGGCCGAGGAGTGAGTAAACTGAATCAAAGATTAAAGCTTAAAGCAACAGGACATTAAATTAAGTACCGAGACCTGCACAGACGACTACCCGACGTCCTGCCCGAGTCACGGTGAGTGAACGGCAACCCCATTTCCCTTCCCGGACATGGGTCAAGTATTGAGCGAACATGAAGTGTTTGTCGGAGGCCTTATAAAGGCATGAAAGACAAGAGAGATAAGGGTTGGAACAAAAATTATTACAGTATTTTCAATTTATTCATAAGGTTCCCCCTAGAGGGTTCTATAGATACCAAGAGGTGGAATAGAGTAAGAGATGCTTTAAAAGATTATTATAGAGTTTTCGGTCCAAAAAAGGTTCCTGTGACCACCTTTACATTTTGGAATTTAATCTCTGAGCTGCTTGCCCAGAGGCATGCAGACCCTCAGGTTGAGGAGACAGTTGTACTAGGTGAGGCTGCCTTGCGCGACTCTGTTAAATCTACCTCAAAACCATCCTCAGAAAAATCTGAAGCCTCTGATTTCTCAGATGCAGAGAATGATGGCCTGTTAGAGGTCCTTGTACATGGTGATCTGCCACCACTTCCACTTGTTGACATGATCAGCAGGTCCCAGGATGGCAGCCCGCCACTCCCTGTGCCTCTATGGCAAATTGGGGATTCATATAAGCCTTTAGAAACAACCTTAACTCTGAAAAGCTTGCAGCCGCACAGCAGCTGGTGCAGGACCAGTTAGATGCAAGCCACATTGTTCCTAGTAATTCCCCTTGGAACACACCTATCTTTGTTATCCAGCAAAGGTCAGGAAAGTGGAGGCTGCTACAAGACCTTAGGGCAATAAATAAGACAATGGTCTTAATGGGGCCCCTACAGCCTGGCCTCCCCTCACCCAGTGCCATTCCTTTAGGATTTTTTAAAATTGTCATAGATCTTAAAGATTGCTTTTCTCTATTCCTTTACACTTCATGACTTCCAAAAACTATTGGGAGACATTAATTGGCTCATACCACTAACAAAACATGATTTACAACCCCTTTATGTGCTGCTTCGGGGAGACATAGATCCAACTTCCCCTCAAGAGCTTACACCTGATGCTAGGAGAGCGCTCAGTAAAGTAGAAGAGGCTATTGCTCAACAAACTGTTTCCTTTATGGACTACAATGAGCCTTTACAGTTTCTCATTTTTAATACAAAGCTTTGCCCCACAGCAGTGTTCTGGCAACAAGCTCCCCTCATGTGGGTCCATTTATCAGTCTCTCCAAAAAGAACACTTTTGCCTTATTTCCAAGCTGTCTCAGACCTAATAATCCAGGGTAGAAAGCAAGGAAAATGTTACTTTGGCAAAGAACCAGACATTATCATTCAACCTTTTACAAAAGACCAAATAGATTGGCTACTTCAGAGTACGGAAGTGTGGCCTATTGCCTTAGCTTCCTATTCAGGGACTATTGACAATCATTACCCTCCAAATAAGCTAGTTGACTTTGCTAATCGTCACTCATTTATATTCCCTAAAGTCACAGCTTTGCAACCCCTTCCAGGTGCCCTGGTTTTATTCACTGATGGCTCATCCTCCTGAAGGGCTGCTTATGTATCTCAAGACAATGTTTCTACCCTCCAGGCAGATACCTCCTCTGCACAATTAGCAGAGTTAGAAGCTATTCTTGCAGCCTTTGCTGCTTACTCTAACCAACCATTTAATTTGTATACTGACAGTGCTTACCTTGCCCAGTCTGTTCCATTATTAGAGACTGTTGCTACCATATGTCATGCTTCCCCAGCTGCAAATCTGTTCAAACAATTGCAATGTTTCATACGGCTTCGCCGTCATAAGTTCTTTATCGGTCATCTGCGAGCCCATTCCAACCTCCCAGGGCCTCTTGCCCAAAAAAATCATTTGGCTGATGTTGCTGTACGAGCACAGGTTTTTATGGCTCAGGACTCCAAGGTGTCTAAGGCCCAATAAGCCCATCAGCTACACCACCTCAATGCTCACACCCTCTGCCTTCTCTACAAAATTACCCGTGAGCAAGCCAGACAAATTGTAAAAAATTGCCCATCTTGTGCTATCCACTTACCTGTTCAACACCTAGGAGTCAACCCTAGAGGTTTAATTCCTAATGCCTTATGGCAAATGGATGTTACCCATTTCAATGAGTTTGGCAATCTAAAATATGTACATGTCATTATTGACACTTATAGTGGCTTCATTTTTGCCACTCTCCAGACTGGAGAAGCTGCTGAACACATTATAGCCCATATGCTGTCAGCCTTCTCAGTTCTGGGATGTCCTCAACAGCTCAAGACTGATAATAGCCCTGGCTATACCAGTACCTCCTTTGCTCAATTTTGCAAGAGCCTTAATATCCTCCACACTACAGGTATACCTTATAATCCTCAGGGACAAGGCATTGTTGAACGTGCACATTGTTCCCTTAAATTCACCATAGATAAAATAAAAAGGGAGACATGGTACCCCACCCAGGGGTCCCCTAGAAATGTCCTTTCACATGCTCTTTTTATTTTAAATTTTCTGACCCTGGATGCTTCAGGCTGCTCCGCAGCATCTCGGTTTTGGCATACTCAGACTCAAACACGGTTTGCATCTGTTTTATGGAGAGACCCACTAACCAATGTGTGGAATGGCCCTGATCCAGTCCTTATCTGGGGACGAGGTTCAGTGTGTGTTTACCCTCAACAAGATAGAGAAGCTAGATGGCTACCTGAATGCCTCGTAAAGCAAGTAGACAGTTCTTCAAAGACCCCATGTAACGCCCAGGAATAATGTTATTTCCTGAGGCACAATCCCCTGTGTTCTCTTACAGGTGACACATCTCCCTGGAGCCTTATGCTGCTTAGCCAGCCTTCTTGAGCCACACCACACCCATGGTGGATTTTGACCCCTGCCAAACAGACTACAACTGCTGACAGCCATGCACAGAACCCCATGACTGTGGAAGAGGCTCTTCTCGGTCTGGAGGAACATACACCAGCCAAATAGACTGCATCCAGTGTTATGCAAGGCATGCTCCAACACAGGAGAATGACTTCATACAGAGACACCAACAAATGGCTGTCAACCCCTTCTCCTTGATTTGGGGGGGGGGAGTTTTTCCCTTACCTAATGCCCCTTTTGGGTCCCCTAGCTGACCTATTGTTTCTCATTTCTGTGAGTTCTTGTATTTTTCAGAGGATTATGATGTTCATTAATAACCGGATAGACGCATTTATGGCAAAGCCCATTCAGGTACACTATCATCAGCTGGAGATGGCAGATCAACAAACCTACAGGGAAGGAATTCCCACGAGTGGCCCATATGACCATGCGGCCTAACTGCCCTGGAGCAATGGACAGGCAGTCAGAGACGGGCAACTAGGACATGCATGTTAATTCCAACGGCCACCTAAGACAGGCACAGGACCAACTGCTGTTCTGCAAGCCCATGACGGGTAAGGCCTGGTTGGGTTCATGCAATGAGGTCCTTGACCTAAGACAGATGCTGTCCTCACAGGGCCTGCCATACTCTTAATTAAATAATATAAAAAGGGAGGAGATGTAGGGAGCCGAGTGACAGGCATTGCTGCCTCGATGTCTCTCTCTCCTATGGGCACTGCGTCTGCCTACATTAACCATAATCCCCTCCTGCTTACGTCACGTATCCGGATGTGATGGTGATCCTGTTGTATTCATCTGTTTAACCTCTTCCTGTCCCAGCTCCCGCCCTTAGCCTATAAAAGGTGTGATTATTTTCTGAATAAACCGGAAGCTTGATCGGATTATTTCATCTTGCTTTCGTCTCTTTTTGTCTCCCCCATGTCTTTTATTTAATCCCCGTTTCCCCTCCAGGAGTTCTGAACTTGTTGATCTGCAGGCCGGATCAGATTATTATCTTTCAAAGCTTGAATTGTTTCCCCCCATGCTCTTCGTGATTTGATGGTTTGTGCTGAGAAGTCTGCTGTAATTCTGATGGGTGTTCCCTTGTAAGTGATCTGTTTCTTGTCTCCGACGGCTTTTAGTATTCTGTTCTTGTATTGGATTTCTGGAATTTTAATTATTATATGCCTGGGTGTTGCTCTGTTTGGGTTGTAGGTGGCTGGGGTCCTGTATGCTTCATACAACTGAGTATCTTTACCTTTTGCTAAATTAGGAAAATTCTCCTGGATTATTTCTGTGAGTAGCTTTTGTAGTTCATTTGTTTGTGTCCCTACTTCTTCTTTTATGTTCTTAATTCTTAAGTTATAGACCCTCTTATCATCTTCTAGTCTTTGTATTATTGCTGTTTGTTTTCTTGTTATTTTTAAGAAGTTTTTCATTTCATGCTCCCATATTACAAATCTGCCCTCCAGTTCAGATAATCTGTCCTTAGTTTCTTTCAAGCTGTTATACCAGTTTTCAATAGATTTTTTAGTTTCCTGGTATTCTCTTTGAACCTGCTTCACGTATTCTGTGCTTTCTCTATTTTCTCCATTAAACAATTCTCCCCTCTTTTTCTGTTTTTCCGTTCCACCATCTGTTTTTTCTTGGGTGGTGCTTAGCATTTTTCTAACTATTCTGCTTATGTCTAGCTTCAGGTCATTAATAACTTCATTCCTGAACTTGTCTATGAGGCTCTCTAGATGGCGCTTTATGTCTATTGGTGCGGTGTCCACTATTGCCTGTTTCTCAGGATTGGGGGCCGAGGACCCTTTCTTGTTGCTGCCTCTTCCCATATTCTTTGTTCCTTATATATGCAAGTGTATATAGGAGGCCCAACTTCATTCCCTGTCAGCCACAGTCTGATTGAATTGCGCTGGCTATGTGTTCCCGCCCACCGCAGCACACCAGGGAGTTACAGACCAGACAGCCTATGCGGTGCCCACCCCTCCAGGTCACCTTCAGGAGCTGGGACCTGGGCTGTGCTAGCCTACTGGGTCTCAGCCAGCAGTGTCACGTGGGCTAGGCACTGCTCACCAATCCCGCTTGAGAGGCGGATTGGTGACTGAAGTCACTGCAGCGCCCTGTTCCCGCAAGTCTGCCTGGTACCAGAATGTCCTCTGTTGGAGTCTCCCAAACCGTGGGAAGAGTGTCAGTTTCTCTCACTCGCCTCACCGCAAGTCAATGCACAGCTCCCTGCCCATCCTGTTTTCAACTCTGTTCGCCGATTCCCGTTCTCAGAGCTTCTGCGTGTCTCTCTCCCTGCCAAGCCGATGCAGACGCAGCCACCGCGCAGCGGGAAACCCTATCACGGCTTCCAATGGCGCGGGCTCCAGCTTCCACACTGAGGTTTTATCTGTTCCTGTTATTGCACCAGGATTGCATTCCCAGTTGGTTTCTCTCAGCTCAGTTCGTTCTTGGATCACCAGGGCATATCTCCTCTTGCTTATGATTCCTTACTTAGCACCATTCCTGAATTCTAAGCTGGGTGTTTCAGAGAGCCTCTGTAGCTGCTGCTATCTGTCTGCCATGTTCTCCCCAGCTCTAGATATTTCCTGGGGAAAGGATGGTGAGAGGATGAGAAAATAAAGAGGAGACAAAGTTGGGGAAGGAGGAGCCCTTATCCTCCTGATGGGAGGAAAGGTGCTGTTCCACCACTGTAGCTCCTTTATTCACCTCCAAAGAAGAATGTCAGTTTCAACCCCACTGCCTAGCAACTTGTTTGAATGGCTGGCCAGGGCCTCTTTCCTTCTTGGAGCTGGAACAGCTTGTTTATGTGGCTCATTCTGAGCTCTTTGTGTTTTCAGAGCTGGTCTTGCTTCAGTCCCACACATGTGATTAATATCCAGCATCAATGGCTCCCTATAATACACAATTTCCTTTTATAACATAACATATGGGTCCCCTAACCCTTGGTAACAGAGCAGTACTGCAACCAAGTCAAGACAGACCATATAGAAGGAGGTGGGCATGGATCACAGGCAAGGCTCCTTCTGCATATACTGGTGTTCATCACTCTCCTTATTGCCTGATTTCCACTGTGGTTCAGCTCAGAGGCAGCACTAGATTCTTGTGGGGGATGAGGTGTCACTTTGTAGGCCCAACCCCCTCTAACCTGCAATTTACAATAGCCGCCCTGGTATGCGAGAAGGAGGTAGAATAGGAATGCCTGTTCTCAGTGAGACCCCTCACCCTCTGGAATCCATACTGTGAGCTGGCTTTGTTTTGCAGAAGTCTTGAGGAAGTGGCTGGCCACCCTTTGTGACACTAACAGCAGACAAATTAACAACATTCTTGAGCTAATGAATTTCTTCCTGGGCTAGAGAAGTTATGAGAACTGGTTGTGATTATTTACTTCACTTAGATAGTTTTAGAATAAACATTGTAGTCTGTCACGTTGTAGCTTGCCACAAAGAATGCCTTTTCACTACTTAATTATCTGGGCTCTGTGAACTGATCGGGTTTACTATATATGAATCCTAAAATAAAGATTGTGCGTGCAGTGCAGTGTAACGCGGTGCAGACAGTAAAGGTGTCTCTCCTGTCTTTCTTTTCCGAGCACTGTACCCCCCGTGTCCCGATCAGGCGTGTGTGCGTGTTTACCTTGCCCGGAGTTCAGAGTGCTCTAAGACACTCACGACAGATTCTCATAGGAAAGCAAACCCCACAATGAATAGTGCATTTGAGGAATCTCACTGTGAACTCCTCTGAGTTACCCCAAACCATCCTCACAACACCCTCCACTTCATCCACAGAAAAGCGAAAGCCATTCATGGTGCCCAAAAAGTGTGAAACACAGTCATAAAGTCTCCGTGTCATGTGTTCTATATTTGGTATTTTTCATCTTTGCCAACATGCTGGATGGATTCTTCTTCACTTTTATGGGCCCTCATAATTTTATTTACACCTGCACACTTGCACCCTATTCCCAGTCTTTGGGGAACAGTTCTCAGGACTAAACTGGTCTGTGGGATCAACTGGCAACTGTGTATCATTTCACCCACAGATGATGGTGACTCCCTTCCATCCACAGCACTGGATCCCCTGGTCGAACCCTGATTTTCCATCACCTGGACTACTCCCTCTCTGAACACCAGCTTCCCAGCTGCTGGTCCCTGCCCTAAGTCTCCTTTCAGCCCTCTCAGCTCTTCAGCTTCCCTGATAATCAGCACAGGAAGGTGCTGTTCAACCTTACCTGAGCCTTAGTCTCCTGAGCACCTGATGTGCAGGCTGCACAGGAATAGCTGGGGTCTACTCTCAGCTTCCTGTCTTGTACCATAGAAGTCCCCTGCCATGTGCTCTGCCTTTGCTGGTTTTCAGCTATGTGTTACTTGATAACTTGGATTCAAATCCTGGTAACTACCAGTAGTAAACACCACATCAACACTCCCATCCCTGGAGATTTTTAGGAGAATCTTGACTTCTGAAAGACTTTCATCGAAGCACAAGAGAAATAAGTGAAATTATTACTGTCACCTTTTCTTCTTTTACTTTCTATTGATTTATTTTGGCATTCACCTCATGCAATGGAAAAATCAGGGCAGGACAACTTGACACAGCCTTGTAGCTCAGGTACTGGAAAGAATATTGAAGCATTTCTGTTGCTCTGATGACCTCCCAGGGAGGAGGATATGACCTCGAGGCAGGGAATTCAATCACATCTGGGTTCCATGCATCATCACTGGAGGAATTTAGACTAAAAAAAGGAGAGAAATTTCCATCTTATGTTCCAAACAGCCCAGAATCTTATGTCACTCAAACACAATGTGTGCTGTCTTAGGTTTGAGAAATAGCTTATTCAAACCTATTTCATTAATAGGCTTGTTAGGGTTGATACAGTCTGTCAATTTGAGAAGTTTAGAAGACTGAGTGACTCAGCAGGGGGCAGGATCCTCACTCTGTAAACATCCTGAGCCTGTGCTAGAGGAGAGCAGTGTTATAGATTGAAAATTGGTGGTCAGTTTAACAACAGCTGAATTCAATCAGCATGGTGGGGCATATCATGGCCCACCTGAGGAAAGTTGCCCACATGAAAAAGAGATATGGAGAGAAAGAGAGTTGGCATCGTGGGTTCTCCTAAGAGTTGCTGTTTGGAGCTGTTGGCTCTCCTGGAGGAACTTGTCACACTGACTTCCCTGATATGAATTTGGCCATTGTTGCTGGAGGAGTATGGGACCTTGTTGCTAAGAGTGGCTGCAGATCACTTTGGGGGAGCTCTGATCCATATATTGAGCCTCACTTCCTGGCTCCAGAGGGGAAGATGTGTGCTATTTAATCCACAGAAGTGGGTCGGACTTGCTTCCTGATATGTGCTTGGTGGTTCCCATTAACAGAGGACTTCAGGACCTCATTGTCCCTGAGGATGGCTGTGGTACTTTACTAGGCAGTGCCAGTCCTTAATTTTTAGCGTCACTTCTTAGCTGCTGGATAGAACCCTCAACCTACTGGCTCAGAACTTTCACCCCACAGGCATTGACGGTCTAACTGCCATCGTTAATCTTTGGTCCTTTCCGACAAAGATCCAAAAAATGCTCTTGTGTGAGTCATTGTCATGGGCTCTGGGTCTTCAGCTGAACCCATGTGGGACACTGCTGTGGGATCCAGGCCCTCAGCTGGAGTTTCCAGATGTTGTGAACAGATTATTGCACTTGCTTGTACTTAAATCTTTATGACTGCCATAAAATAATATTATAAATTCTGTGTCCTACATGTAATTGTTCTCTTTGCAACCACTGAGTACAACAGCAGGGAGATTTCCTAACTGCTTACAATATAAAGGAAAGGAAGGAGAAGAGGCTTGCTCTCCTTTCTTTTTGCTCTTGTTGTTTTGCTGTTGTTTGCTGACTTAAAGTGTTGCCCCAGTGCCAGCCATCCTGCCTTAGAGCCAGCTGGTTACAGACTGAAATCTCCACAAATTGTGAGCTAGATAAACTTTTCCTTCCCTAATTTTGGGTATTGATCATTTCGTCTCAGCAATGGGAGAAAAGTAACCAAGACAATGCTGGAGTAAGTAGAATCTACTGCAAGGATAAAAGCACAAATCCAACCTCTGTCCAAGACTGAGAAAGTGTCCTTCCTGTATACCTGCTAGCTTGAAGGAAACCACTCCATAACTCAGTGCGCTCAAGCAACACACATGATTCCACATGCATTTTTACACTGCCAGCATGGGCACTGCTCGGCAAGATTGGTCTATGGACCTAATCAGTGGTTCTTCCATGATTTATGGTTCAGAGGCATCACCACATGCCTGGAGGTTGGCACAAATAACAGTAGGAACTCAGACAGGGCTGCACCCTGAGACTGTAGCACTGAGGGGAATGTCAGCTGAACTGGCTTTGAAAGTCACTCAGGAAATTAATAAAGCACACCTCTGGGTATGTCTGTGTGTGTCAAGAAAGCATGAACTTGGCCCCTTCCTCTCAGACACTGTTCCCTGGTTTCAATTCCACATGCTAGGAATTAATCATCATTGCCCACCATTCCCTTCTGTCATGGTGCTCCTCCCTCAGACTAAAAGCAAAAGAAAAACTTAGAGATCCTCCCTGGGCTAACAAACAAACCATAGGTTAAATTATACTTCTCTTCTTTGATTTGTGAGTATTGGGGTATGTATTCCGCTGGAAAACTGTTGAATACAGTCAATTAGCACTGAAGAATTGAAGTCATTTTTGACTACACATGACCATGTTTTTAAAAAGCATTTGGACCTTGTTTGCACAAGGCATTTGGAAAGGTTTGGAGAGGGCTTAGGATGCTGGAGCAAGAGTTCTAAAGATAGCAATGTTGATAGAAATGAGCCTGAAAAGGCCAGGCCAAAGAGATTATAGTTCAAAAACAAGAACAGATTATGTATTACATGTATGATCCAACTATCTAAAATAACTAACTTTATATATACATATGTGTGTCTTCATTTTTTCCATTTTTTAAGAAATTTCAACAAGTGAGAAATATCCACTTTCAGATATACAACTGAGGAATATCCTCTTCTAGAGAACTGACATCCACTTGGAGAAACAATGGAACCATCAAGACATAACAAGAGAGATGAGGCATTTGCCCACTGCCTGTACCATCAACTTGGCTCACATCCAGAAGAGGAAGGCCAGGACTGCAAGCTAAGGATGGACGCTGCAGGAGGACACAGCAACCAAGCCCTGGGCCTAGAGGGATCCTCTATGGGGGGCCAAACTCCCTTTCTTTTGCTGTGGTATTAGCTACCCTTTACCTAACTGCGCCTATAGGAATCCTCTCTCCTTTTTTCCCTCTGATCCCTTTTGGTCCAGGGCCATGACTATGACTACCTCAAGGAGCATATAGAATATTATGCCAGAGGAAGGGAGTCAAAACCCCTCCTCATTAATCTCAACAAAAATCTAAACAACATTTGGGAAGGGAAACATTAATCTCTTTGATAAATATCCAATTTTAAAAACTTGTCCATATAAGAGAATGAAAGTGTTAAGGAAAGCTAAATATAAATGTTGAAAAAAATGTTATTCCTTAAATGTTTGAAAATATTATTTTACCTTTATTAAAAACAAAACGACTCTAAAAATCACCTAAATTCTGAAGAAACGAGGTAGTGTTTATGAAATTGGGGCCATATTGGCAATCTGAAGATGTCCACAAGTTCAGAAATTCCTTCCTGTTTTAAACAAACTCAGATTTCTTTCCTTGAAACACCTCTCTGGGAAGGAAATACTAAGGCAATGTGCTCAGGGACCAGAACCTGACGCTCATCTCTAACCTGTTAGACTCCCTGCCTGCTGCACAGTGCTTCTCACTGAGAAGCAAACTTGATTCTCAAAGGCAGCACTGCCACCTGCTCCGCCCAAGACATGGTACCATAGGGACCTCTGCCCAATTTGTCTGTAGGGCTGATTCATCAGTGAGGGCAATGGGCACTGGGTCAGCATCTTATGACAGAAGAGGCTTCAGTAGGAAAAGACATCAGTGCTACAAAGAAGAGGATATTCAACCGCTGGTCCGACAGACCACATTTCAGTGGAATCTATTTGCCTGGCACTGCTCACACCTAGATATGGGAGTAGACACTGGGGTGAACAAAGAAAAGCACAGAGCAAAGAGAAGTTCAGCATGCCTCAGGCACTGCAAAGCATTCTTTATAAATCATGGGAGAACAATGCACTGATGGCTTAAAAAGGAGGAATGTACACTTGTGCTTCACTTGTGCAACAAAAAGCAGGATGGCAGAGAAATGATCCTTCATAATTGTATTTAGATGTCAGCTTTGCATATATGTAGGGGGAAAGAAGAGAAGCAGGGATAAAGACGGAGTACTAGTAACCCACATATGTAAGACTCTGATGAGGTTTGAAGATCACAGTGAGTTCAAAGAAATCTTTGATGTTGCACAGATCCAGAACTCTATCTGGTACTGCACACTCCATCTATTTACTTGGTACCATAACTTATTCCATAAGGTATTGTGTAAAAGTGATAAGCCTCCTGTGTAAATGCTCATCAATATTTATCTGCATAAATAT